GCCTCTTCGGCTGCCTTGGAGGCCTCTTGGTCGGTCTTGGGGCGGCTCTCTTGGAGGCCTCTCGGGCCATCTTTGGGCGATCTTGGAGGCTTCTTGGCTTGCCTTGGAGCCTCGGGAAGCTGACAAGGCGAGAACGCTGAAATCTTTCAAACATTTTCGGGAAATTTATGATGTTTGCCCTTTGGGATCCTTTTGGAAGTTTTCTTGGAGGCTTCTTGGGGCGTTTTGGGAACATTTTGAGCCGTCTGGAGGCTGCTTTGGCGACTTGGACCGATGCTTCGGCGATTCGGAGCCCTCGAGGACCTTCTTGGGGGCATTTTGGGACAGTGTTACCGCGTCCTGCGGCTTTTCTTGGCCGCCCAACCGCCCGAGTGGGAGTCGTAGTTTCCCCGGGAGGACCCCTCCCACGGGACCCCCCCCCGGGACCCCCCCCCCGGGACCCCCCCCCGGCGGGGAAGGGGTCAAAGGGAAGGGGCTTCTTTTCGACTCAACTACAACGTTGCTCCATTTCGCTGTGGCTGGCGCGCTCGAGGAGAAGAACCCTGTGAGAGGGGGGTGAACAGCGACGGGCCTAGGGAAAAGGGGGGAAGCGAGCGGCGAAGGCGACGACGACGACGAGAACGACGACGACGACGACGACAACGATGACAACGACGACGAGTCAAACCGAACAGCCTCTTCCACACGCCGACAGGGTCGGCGGATTTCCCGCGATGTCCTCCGCCCTGGTCTGCATCACCAGCTGCCTCCCCGCCTTCAGCATACGCCACTTCTCACTCGTCACCTTCTCGATGGTCTCGTTGCGCACAGGCGCCTGGGTGAAGTGCCGCAGGCCAACAGTCCGAATCATATTCATCAGCAGCGCGGAGTGGACCTTCGTGACCTTACGGCTCTCCAGGACCTCGAACGTGGCGCGATGGGACTCCAGCTCGTACTGCACATCCTCGAAGATCCCCCCGCGCCCAGCACCCGTGAGCACTGCCTCGCTGAGCTTGGCACGGCCCCATCTCTCCTTCAGGGGGGTGAGGACCAGGGGGGGCACCGCCTTGATCTCCACAACCACAGGGATGTGGTCGAGCACCGCGGGCACAGAGCGCCCCCCCCCGTGCCGACCTCCGCCACGTCTTCGCCCGTCCCACGAGGGGCGCAGCGCCTGGCAGGACCGCACGCGTGGTCGATCTGGCTCGCGCCGCGGGTGCCCTCGACCGTGTTCCCGCAGTCACGGAAAGTGTTGATGGCCACGAGCCCCACCACGACGAGCCACTCGTGGACCTTCGCGCCGCACGTGTTCTCCTGCTCCGCGCCGAAGGGGCCGACCGCCTCGGAGTCCGCACCCTCGCACAAGCCTGAGTTCAGGTCCATGCAGGCGACGGGCGCATACCTTGGCGGAACATTCAGGAACTCGTGTTTAGCCCCCATTTCAGCAGTTGATCGCACGCATCGTGGTACACGCGCGGGTTGCCTTCCTTACTCGGCTTTGGTGGGAAATACAACACCATCGTTGCAATCATCACAGGCCCCGACGACAGGTACACCAGGCCGCTGCGCCCCCGAAGCCCAGGAGGCGGCACGATGATGTGTTTGATGTCCTTCTTAGCGAACCAGGTCTTATTGATCATCACCGCGCAGACGCACGCCTTCGTGACGAGGCGGCTCCTCCCCAACCAGAACTGAACCGTGTGGTGATGTGCCGCATTCTCAGCATGGTGGGCTTCGCTGTGCCACATACGCACTCCTGTCCCAGGTAAGCCAATCACCCCCACGTTGCGCAACACCGCTGACACCTCGTCGAGGCGGTACGCCGTCGCGAGCGAGTGGGGGTCCCACTTGCCCAGGAAGCTCCAGCGCTCGGTGGCGCTGGCGAAGCCCAGCAGCACAGTCAGGATGGCCCTCTGCATCGGGAGATCACGGAGGGCACCGCGAGGGCCCGAGCCGCAGCGTGCCGCCAGCCCCCTGCTCTGGGCAGCACATTGCACACAGGCGGTCAGCGCCCGCGGGCCACGGCTGCCTCCATTGCGACGGGGCGCTCCTTGGACAGGCCGTGGAAGGGGGGGCCTGGGCCGCGTCGGCGGCCGAGGGGGAGGAGGAGGAGGAGGAGGAGGAGGAGGAGGAGGAGGAGGAGGAGGAGGAGGAGGAGGAGGAGGAGGGGGAGGGGGAGGGGGAACGGGAGGAGCCAGGCCAACCTTATTCACCGTCGCGTAGCGGAGAGGGTCCCACACTGCGCCACATGACGCGGCGTCAGAGGCCACCGCCCACGTCGGCACGTCGGCACGGGTTTTGGGCAGGTTGCAGAATGGTGTTAATCTTCGGGCGACGAAATCTATACATATCCACTGCTCCCTGACCATGCCCATCTTGAACCCAGGAGCTGTGTATGCGCCCTCCTGGCCAAGCCAGGAGGGCGTGGCGTATACACCGCTGCGGGGTTGAGGATGGGCCTGGCCTGGGAGCAGTGGATATGTATAGATTTCGTCGCCCTAAATCTAAGCCTGCCAGATAGGGTTAGAGTAGACGCGTCGGAGGATCGCGCCGCATCGACGATGCTGCGTGATCGTCCGATTCCATTTGCTGCAACCCCATCTGGAGGCTTCTAGAATCATCATCAGCGCCAAGTGATCTGACATTGCCTCTGGATGGTCCTGGCCCAAGGTGCCCCAAGCTATTCGCAGGATTTCGGAACCCTTGGGGCCCTTTCGGCCTCGTGAGATGTGCTCTGGAGGCCATCTGGACCTCCTGGGAAATCCTGGGGGCACCTTGGGCCAGGCGCGCTCTTGGCAACACCCGAAGAGACTTCGGAGCGAGGGTACCCCCACAGAGGTCCCCAAGAGGCGAGCGGGGGTCCCTGGAGCCTAGGACTGATTGCAAAGCCTGACTTTCCTGATCCTCCTGGCCAGTCCAGGCGCAAACAGCCTGTCAGGCTAAGGCAGAATTTCGACGACGTGTTTTCTGTTCTCACAATTTGGACCCCAATCAGATGGGGCTGGGACGAGGATAAATCCGGTCAAGAGCTTTCCGGAACGCTCTCAGGGCGTTCTGGAACTCTCAGAGAATGCCTCGGCGCCCGAATCATTTTCCAAAGCCACCGGATCTCAGAGATTCTCGATTAGTCCTCACCCGATTTTGTCCTCGGAATTTATCCTCGTCCTGGCTTCGTCTTACCCCAGAGTTCTGGACCCTTTCCACGGGACTGGCTTTTCACCCGGAGTCGTTTCTGACGGTCCCAGGGCCCGTGATTAGGATGCAAGCAATGGGAGGTCCATTTCAGCAAAGGCGTTGGAATATCCGTCGTCGAAAACCGACAAGATCCCACTTGATGCCAGGCTTGATTCGGCCTTATCCAGGCAAAATGACTCTCCATCGGGCTTAATCGCCCTCAATCGTTCTTACGGAGATTTTTCAGGAGCTGCCTCCTGACGACGAGGGCCCCCTGAAAGCCAGAAACTGCCCCAAACCTTCCGTCGTGATTTCCTTTCTGTTCGTAATGCGGGGAAGTCTGGGACAAGACCAGGGGGAGCTCCGTCGCAGTCTCGACTCCCTCCTGATGCCCAGCCCCCTACCCATGCCTGGATGCTCCCGCGGCGCGGAGCCCGCCCACTCTTCCTTCTCTTCTCCCTCTCGTATACGCATCCCCCTTCTCTCTCTTCCCCTCGCATCTCTGCATCTCCTCTCTCCCTCTCCTCCTTCTCCCCTCCTCTCCTCCCTTTTCTCTCCTCCCTTCCCCCTGCTTTTCTTCTCCCTCTCCTCCCTCTCCTCTCCTTTACTTCGTATGCGGCGCCTCCCGTGTTGTGGGGCTGGCCTGCGCGGCACTAAAGGCTGCGGGGCCTGGGCGGATTGCCGTCCGAAGTGGTGCGCCTGTCCTATCCTCTCTATCATCCCGATCCTTCTGTCGAAGAAGAACACTCCACATGGACCCGCCCCCGGCGGCGCTTGTGGCGCTTTCCCTGGCGCGCTCCGCGTGCCAGGGAGGGGTGTCCAGCGCCGATATAAGACATGCCCGCGGGCCTCCGGAAGCCGCCTTCCTCCTCCCATCTCCCTCGTGTTCCTCTATTTCGTTCTCAATGTCCCCCTCCTCCCGTCTTCGCTCCCCTACTTCTAGTCCTCTTCCTCTCGTCTTCGTCGTCGTCGTCGTCGTCGTCGTCCTCCGCCACTTCTGACTACGCATGGCCCTCCTCCCCCTCCTCTCCTCCACCTCAATCAGCATCCTGTTCTCATTATCCCCTCCTTCTTCCCCCTCCTCCGCCCCCTCACCATCCAGCCTTCTCAACCTTTCCTCGCTGTCCTCCACCCACCACTCTTCCCCCGTAGCCATCGTCCTCTTCTCGGTCATCACTCTCTCATCGTCCCGTCATGTTTCCCTCCTCAGCCCCTCTCCCCCTCCTCATCTCCTGATCATATCCCATGCTTCCCCAATCTGCTCCTCGATTGCAATGAACGAGGAGCTGGCGGAGGGAGGTGAGGGGATAAGGAGGGAGGAGGAGGAGGAGGAGGAGGAGGAGAAGGAGGAGGAGGAGGAGGAAGAGGAGGAGGAGGAGAAGAGAGAGAGGAGGAGGAATAAGCGGTTTCGTCTTCCTTCTCCTCCTCCTCCTTCTCCTCCTCCTCTTTTTGCGTTGGCCAGACCTTACGCTTACGCGTGTGGCGCTCTTGATGCGCTGCGAACGAATTAAGTGCAAACGACTCGGCGCAAAGGGTACCTGGCGGGCGCCGCGGACAAGTCGGTAAAGACAGACAGGGAAGCAGCATAGGTGGAATAGTAGGCGCACGCCAGGTAATGCAGCTTGTACCTTAGTGGTGAAGCCCTAAACGAGTAGAACCAAGTAACACATAGTGATGCCATTTTTCATTAGGTATATGCTGCGAACAGTGCAAATGTAAAAAAGAAGGAGTGCAGTGGCGCAGCTTTGACTGTGCAGTTCTAGGGTTATTGCCCAGGTGTTGGTTGACCCCAAACCGTACGTAAGCGCTCGCCTCCTCCTCCTCATATTGCTCCTCCTCCTTCCCAGGCTCCAGCTGGCGCAGGAGCGCTCCGGGCGGCTGCTGGTCCGCATGAACGCGGTGTGCGCCATGGGGTGCGACTGGCCGGACTACGGCGTGCCGTGGCGCACCCCGACGACGACGACGACGACGACGTCCACGGTGGCGGCGGAAGCGGCGGCGACGACGACGACGAAGACGGCGGCCATGGGCAGTGGAGGCGGCGACGCCTTCGGCGGCCATTGGCGGCCCGCGGATACCGCGGCAGCGACGACGACGTTGTCGGGACTCTGGTGGGGCCGGACGCCCCTAGTCGACACGGTCGGGTGTACGTCGGTGTCCCGATCGAGACCCGCTCTGTGTGAGGTCCGAAGATCGACTTTGACGACCACGGTGGCGGCGACGACGGCGAGAATGAGGAGGATGAGGCCATCACAAATTGCCCTTGTCGAGGGCCCTGCTGCACCGGGCGTGCGTGCCTCGGACCTCATCTATTTTTCCCCCCTCCGCGCGCAGGACAAGCAGTATGTGGAAATGGAATGGGCGGGAGAGGAGGAGCAGGAGGAGAAAACGGAGAGGAAGGGGCAGAGGAGGGCAGGATGGAGGACGCGGACCAGTTCGAGGAAGAGGCCTCTCTGTTCCTCTTCCTGCTCCGTCCTCGTCCTCCTCTTCTTCCTCCTCCTCCTCCTATCTCCGACCTCATCCTCATCCTCCTCATGCTCCCCCACCCAGCCCATCCATTCCCCCCCCCATCCCCCACATCCCTCCCTCCCTGCCATCCCCTCCTCCCACCTCCCTGCTTCAGCCCTCCCTCTTCCCCCTCCTCCATGCGGGACAAGAACGAGGAGCACAAGGGCAAGCAACAGCAGCAATGAGCAGGAAACATCAGAAAGCAGCAGCAGCAGCACGAGTGCCAGGTGGAGCGCATGTCGGGGGAGAGGAGGACTAGGAGGATGAGGCGGAAGAGGAACTGTTGGAACAGGAGGCAGTCGCTGCTGGAGGGAGGATGATGAGAGCATGGGAATGCACGCAGGAAGAGGAGTGTGCAAGCCGCGGACATCGAAATCGAGGAGGCGGAGTTGGAGGAGAAGGATAATAATTTGCGGTATCAGGGTCGAGGAGGCGAGGATGAGAAGAAAGCAGCAGGGAGGATCCCCCCCTCCCCTGTTTCTCATCCCTTGGGGGGGGCCGGTTTCCTCCCCACCACACACCGAGTCCTCCCTCCCCCCCCGGTCCCCATTCCTCCTCATCCGCCGTCCTCCCTGCATTTGCCCTCCATCATCCACTCTCCTCCTCCTCCTCCCTCGCCCCAAGACGTATGAAGTCTTGATCAGAGTGAGGGGGCCGACAGGGCTTTCATTGTCCCTGGGCGCGTGGTTGAAGTGAGGTTCTGCGGTGCGCGTTGTGGAACTTTCATTCTTGAGGAATAGCCATCGTTGATCCCACCACCGATGCACATTGTAATGGAGAGGCCTTATGGTGGATGCCGCCGACCCTGAACGACGACGACGACGACGACGACGACGACGACGACGACGACGACGACGACGACGACGACGACGACGACGACGACGGCGGCGGCGGCGGCGGCGGCGGCGGCGGCGGCGGCGAAGGCGAAGGCGAAGGCGAAGGCGAAGGCGAAGGCGGCGGCGGCGGCGGCGGCGGCGGCGACGACGACGACGACGACGACGCGACGACTGCGGCGGCGGCGGCGGCTGCGGTGGAGGCGGCGGCGGCGGCGGCGGCGACGACGACGACGACGACGACGACGACGACGACGACGACGACGACGACGACGACGACGACGACGACGGCGAGCGCTCTCGGGGGCCTCCTGGGGGTAGTTTTTGGTCCTTTTGTGAGGCTTTTGGGGGCGCCTCGTGGAGGCCTCTTGGGGGTTCCGGGAGGTCTCCTGGGGGCCCCTTGGGGCCTCTTGGGGGACTTCTTGGGGGCCTCTGGGGTCTCCTGGGAGCCTCTCAGGCCGAGGGCTCGAAATTTCCGTTCTGCTCCCCCGTCTGAGGAAGCCGTCTTGGGGGTTTCTTGGGCTGTCTTGCAGCGTGGGGAAGCCGACAAGGCGAGAACGCCTAAATCTGTCGAGAACTTTCAATATGTGATTTTCGCCGTTAGGAGCGCTCTTTGAACTTCTCTTGGAGGTTTCTTGGGGCGTTTTGAGAAACTCTTCAGCCCTCTGGAGGTCGGCGATTCGGGGCCCTCGAGGACCGTCTTGGGGGCCTCTTGTGGCACTCTTGCTGCATCTTGGAGCTTTTCTGGGCCCCAGAACTACCCAGGAGGGGATGCGGATCTGGCTTGCGACCCACCCCCTGGGACCCACCCACCGCTGGGACCCATCCCCCGGGACCCCCCCTCCGGCGTGGAAGGGTCGGCGACTGCAATCGGTGCGGTTACGCCGGGGTGCTGTTTGCGAATTGTTTTGTGGCGGCCTTTCCGGGGCCTTTGTGAGAGACAATGACATAGTTGTCGTCGTTTCGAGCGACATTGTCATCTTCAATGTGTGCTCCACTGTGTTAGAAGGAGCGACATCATGTGATTCGGTCGCATTGAGTGACAGTGTCACCCGTTTCCCAGGGGCGGGAGGGGCAGATATGACGGGAGGCAAACCGCACCCTTCGCAAACCGCACCCATTGTAGTCGCCGAAAGGGATCACCGGGAAGAGGTTTCCATGCGATTCAGCTACGACGTTGCTCAATGTCGCTTTGGCTGGCGCGCTTAAGGAGTTAGGGCCCAGGGAAAGGAGACGGGGGACGACGGAGACGACGATTGATGGAGACGACGACGTTGACGGCGACCAACGGAATCGTGTCTTCCACACGCCGACAGGGTTGGCAATTGAAGTGCCCCCCTCGGGGCTCGTACCTTGTTCCCTACTTAGGCTCTGCCTAGAAGGGTTCTTACTCGGTAGCTTAAAGGGCCGGACAGTGGGGCCCGCCCCGGGCGGTTCCCCCAGTATCCGCCCCGCGGTTCCCCCAGTGACGTTCCTTTAGCGTCGCGTTGCTTATCTCATATTAGCTTAGCTTATTTCATCTTACTTTAGCTTAGCTTCATCTTACCTCAGTTTGATTCCCTACCTAGGCTCTGCCTAGAAGGGTTCTTTCTCTGTAGATTAAAGGGCATGGCAGTGGGGCCCGCCCCGGGCGGTTCCCCCAGTATCCGCCCCGCGGTTCCCCCACTTGCGCCCCCTGGGTTCACCCAGCTTAGCTTAGCTAAACTTAACTCAGCTTAGCTTAGCTTAGCTTAGCTTAGCTTAGCTTATATCATCTTAGCTTAACTTAGCTTAGCTTAGCTTTTGTTTAGCCTAGCTTAGCTTAGCTTAGCTTAGCTTAGCTTAGCTTAGCTTATCTTAGCTTGGCTTGACTTGGCTTGGCTTGGCTTGGCTCAGCTTAGCTTAGCTCAGCTTAGCTCGGCCTGGCCTAACTTAGCTTAGCTGAGCTTATCTTCGCATACCATATCTTAGTTTACTTTAGTTTAGCTTAGCGCAGCGCATCATAGCGCAGCGCAGCATTAGCACAGCATTGCATAGCATAGCATAGCCAAACATAACATATCATAACATAACATCGCATAGCTCATCATAGCATATCATATCGTAGCATATCATATCATAGCATATGTGTAGATGGAAATGTGAGTATCGCTGTTGATATTGATGTAGATGTAGATGCAGGTGTAGATGTAACTATATATGTCGGTGTAGATGTATATGTTGCTTTCCTAATGCTCCAACTCCTAGGTTGGGTCGCACTGGGATAGTTTTGTATCATGGAATTCCTGCTCGATCTGTGCCCCTGCCCCCCCGGCTACAACAACAGCGGCTCCCGCTGTATACGCCCTAACAATGTACCCCCATCGTGCTCTGGCGCGGGACCTCGTCTGTGTGTACAGGAATCGCGCTCTCGCGTGGGATTCTCTAGCAATTCATTCAGGCGCCGCGCCCTCGACACTCAGGAATCACGCTCTCGCTGTAGAATTCCTCACGATTTCTTTGGGAATCGCGCTATCGCTTGAGATTCCCTCGCGATTCATGCAGGACGCACGCTTCAGCAACCCGCCTGCTCGACCTGGCCGCCTGGGCCCGCCATCCCGTCCCGCCCGTTTGGGTTCACCCGCCCGATTTGCCCGACTGGTTCTGCCACGTGTGTTCTGCTCCTGGCCCACTCTCCTGCCAGTTTCTCTTGCGGTCCGTGTTTCTCCCTCCCCCCTTCCATCCGTCGTCCCTTCTGCTTGGCTTAGGGGCTGCACTACATGCGCGTGGCAGGCAAGGAAGATATGCCCCCCAGCGGGGTACGATCGAGGACGACAGGGAGGGCAGGTACCGAGGGTGTGGGGCATACGAGTGGTATGGCACGCGAGCAGATCGGAAGGATCGGTATTCATATGATCGATGTTGTTTTGTTGGTGGTGGTGGTTCTGGTGGTTGTGTGCTGTTGCTGCTGTTGCTGTTGGTGTTGCTGTTGCTGCTGGTGGTGCTGGTGTTGTTGCTGGTGTTGTTGTTGTCTGCGAGAACGCCCGTGTGTGGCCCGTCCACGGAGGGACGAGGGGGGAAGCAGGCCAGCACCCACACCGACGCCCACGCCCACGCCGGGAGGGGGGGGGACAGCAGGCCAGCACCCACACTGACGCCCACGCCCACTTCCACGCGCACGCCCTCGGGCAGGAGATCTTGGTAAGGGAATATCTGCCCCCCTGTGTAAGAAATCATCCCCCATGAGGGGAGATTGATTTTGATGAATGCATCCTGCATATCGAATCATCACACATTCGGGTGTAATGAGAGATGGTGTTGTTGAGTTTTCATTGCTGAAAATAATTATGTTTGATCTCCCCCTTCCGGTGACCATTGTGTTTTTCAATTGAAGTGCTTCCCACCCTGTTCTTTATGAAGGAAAGTCACAAGGGTCAAATTGTGTCCATGGCCCCAGGGTCACAACAACAACAGTTCCCGCTTGAGACTTCCTCACGATTTGGCCAGGACCTCCGCTCCCGTCTGAAACGTCCTCACATTTTACCGGAGTCGCGCTCTCGCTTGGGACTTCTAGGGGGTCCCCAAACGGGGTGGTGACCACACCGTACGGTGAGTCGGTAGGGATTCGGGGTCACCGCATGGTT